GCGGGGCGCCAGGCGGTTCCGTGGGTGTTGAGGGTGAGGTGAGCATCCTGGTGTGGCCTTGGAAGGCCAGGAGAGGAGCTTATATTCTCTCGTGAGGGCGATGGGGGCCATTGACGGTTTAGAATTAGGGCAAGTGGCATGACCAGAGATGCAGTTTTAAAAGGTCACTCTGGGCAGCATGAAGAGGTTGAAGAGGAAGGGGCGGGTACAGGAGGAGGATTCTTCCTTTCTTTCCCACCAGCTTCCCTGGGGCAGCCATGGGAGACCCATCTCATGCCATCCCCCTCTCCTTTTTTTAGGCTCATCCCGTGAAGACTGGAAGCTGAGGGCTCCAGGCCCAGGCATCAGAGCGCACCATGGCTCCCAGCCCCTGGGGCTGTGTGTATGGCCTCCTGCTGCTGTGGCTGCTGCTGTCCCTGGGGGCTGGCTCTGCCCTGGGCCGGGGCCTTCCCAGGCCACTTGAGGACTTGGAACCACACTTGATCCCAGGAGCCCACCCCAAGGGCCCTGTTGGCACAGAGCCCCAGGCCTTTGACTTCTTCTGGGAGAAGCCCAGAGATGAGAGCCCCTGGAACTCCAATGTCCCCCAGGTCCCTGCTGAGGAGGTGCCTGAGAGGCCCACAGACTCCCTTGGCCCAGCCCTGCATGGACCTAAAGCATCCCATGGGGTGCAGAGAGGACTCCCAGTAACTGATGACCTCCAGGTGGCTCGAGGGCCAATTTTTCAGGGCTGGACAGGACCTCCTGAATCACAGGAGTCTATGGAGCAAGAAGCACCAGCCCCCTATCCAGTGGGCACCCCCCATCTCACTTTCATCCCCACAACCCCTAGACTCCAACTCGGGCTAGCCACGGTTCCTCCCACCCCAGGGCAGCCTGGAAGCCAAGTGGGACAGCGACCACCTAGAGATGAGGGTCTTGTGGCCAAAGCCAAGATCAGGGTCTCAGAGACATCCCCCTGGCACCACAAGGGCCCTCCCCACACTCTTGCGCCACACCCAGGCACTGTCATGAGGCCAGGGCTGAAAGAACAGGGAGGGAGTGAGGAGGACTTCCAGGAGGCAGCTCAAGGCCCCCTCCTCACTCAGCAGGATCCAGCAGCCCCTGATGTTGGCTCAGTATCACCAGCTGAGGCGGCATCCTCTCAGGAGCCTGGGTCCCAGCCGGACCTGGCATTGGCCAGAAGCCTTCCTCCTGTTGAGGAGCTGCCCATGGAGCTCCCCAAGAAGGCTGGAGGTGGGGAGACCCGGGAAGTCAGTATTCCAAGTCCCTCACCCAAACAGACTGACCTCCCTGATGTTAGGGGCTCATCAGGACCCCAGCCCTCAGGTCTCCCAGCCTCAGAGACTCCTAATGGGCAGCCCAAGCCAGGTGGGTATCAAAGTAAGGATGCTGAGCAGGGCTGGGACGGGCAGTGTTCTAGGGCAGCTGGATGCCCCAGTTTCTGTGTGACCTCTGATCCCTCTGGGTCCTGCTTTCCTCATTCTGGCAAATGAGGGTGATTGTGCCTCCCTCCTGGGGGATTAGATTTTGGGGAACGCTGGAGGGTCAGGCAAAGCAATGACTGCTTTTGTTATTTCAGAGATAGCAGCAATGAATGGAGCAGACCCCATCTCCCCCCAGCGGGTGAGAGGAGCAGTGGAGGCCCCAGGTACCCCCAAGTCCCTCATCCCTGGCCCTTCGGACCCTGGCCCAACTACAAACGGAACAGAGAGCCCTGTGGGAGCCCTGCAGCCAGGTGAGGGCATGGCTCAGGGGTTGGGGAGATCGGGTACTCTAATACCTAAGAACTTGTGTGAGATATATATGCGAGGGGTGGGGAGTGAATGGGGACAAACACCTTCTTAAAGGAAATGGCCAACAACTTCAAACAACTTAGGATAATAAACTACTACTCACTGGGTACTCTGGGAGAAGTCATTTGCACTTTGGGGGCTAGAAAATTCTTAAATATAAATTCTTAAGTATACATGGGTATATTTAGTGCAGTGATTCTCCAACTCCCACAGTTCACCAGAGGAGCTTTTAAAAAATTCCAATGCCCAGGCCCCAGCACAAGGAATTCTGACTGAGTTGATCTCCAGGTGATTCTAATATGCAGTCCCCGTTGAGAGCTGCTGGAATGTTAATAAAAATGATAGGTCACATCCATTTAACACTTATTGGGTGTTGGGGACTGTGCTAAACATGTAATCCTCACCACAACCCAGTGAGGAGGGGTGCTGTTACCATCCCCATTTTACAGATGTGCTTAGAAAAGTTAAGTAACTTGCTCACCACACCGGAGGATGATGGAAAATCAAAAGTACTTTTCAAAGGGCTATTTTAATATTGTTATTGTTGCAGATGAAGCCGAGGAGTGGCCGGGGCGCCCCCAAAGCCATCCCCCAGCGCCCCCTGTCCAGGCCCCCTCGACGTCACGCCGGGGCCTCATTCGGGTCACCACGCAGCGTGCCCTGGGCCAGCCACCCCCTCCGGAGCCCTCCACCAGCTCCGTGGCATCAGTCCCAGCCTCCAGCCCCCCGGCCAACGCCACCTCACCCCCCCTGCGCTGGGGTCCCCTGCGGCGGGTGCTGAGCTTTTCCTGGGAGCTGCACGTCTACGGGGTCGGGGTGCTCTTCCTGCTGCCTGCGTTGCTGGCACTGGCCTCGCTGGCAGCCGCCCCTGCAGGGCCCCGGTTAGCACTGGTGGCGGCGGTGCTGGTGCTGGTGGCGTCGGGGCTGCGGTCCGCCTACATGCTCACCGACCCCTATGGCTCGCAGGCACGACTGGGTTTACGCGCCGGCCTGGTGCTCTACAATCTGCCCTTTCCCTTGCTACTCACCGCGCTGGCGGCCCTGACCCTGCTCGGCCTGGGCGCGGGGCTGCCGCAGCAGCTGCAGAACCCACTCCTCCTGGGAGCGCTGGCGTTGGCGCACGGCTTGGGGCTGCTCGCCACAGACCTGCTGTCGGCGAGGCCTGCGCTCAACCTCCTGGCTCAGGGCTTATCGTGCGCCTGGGGCGCGTCCGTGGCTCTGGGCACGCTCTGCCTGTGCCGTCGCCGCCTGCTGGACGGGCCGAGGGGCTGGGATGCCAGCCCGGGCCCGAGGCTGCTGGCCGTGGCGGGCGCGCTGGGGCTGCTGGCCAGTGGCTTGCAGCTGGCGGCCGCGCTCTGGCTGTACCCGGGCCCCGGCCGGGTGGGCCACTTCTCGTGGGCCTGGTGGGGCGTCCACTTCTGGCTGCGCCTGCTGGAGCTGACGTGGGCGCTCACCCTGGCGCTGGCCTCTCTGGCCGCCGCGCGGCCCAGGCCACCCACAGAGCACGCCTGCTGGGCTAAGCTGCTGCGCCTGGCGTGCCCTGCGCCCTCCGGCAAGAGCGAGGTGCCCGAGAGGCCCAACAACTGCTACGCTGGGCCCAGCAGCGTCGGCGCAGCTACCCTGGACATTAGCAAGAGCCTCATCCGCAACCCGGCGGAAGGTGGGCCTCCAGCCACGCCCAGTTCAGGCGCCTGGGGTTCGGCTGCGTCGCTGGGCCGCGGTCCCCTGGGTGGCCCGGGACTGTCCCGCAGCAGCATGGGGCCGGCGCCATCGATGAGCGAGCTGGACCTGCGGCCGCCATCACCCATCAAC